AAGGAACTCCTTCGTGAGGATTCCTTCAAACTCTGCTGGAAACAATGGCTTCAGAGACAGAGGCTTCCCCCAACTGATAGTTGTGGTTGTCTTGCCGTTTACAGCGGACTTCTTGACCTCACCAACGACGAGAAGCGGTTCCCAGTCGCTCCCATCACGGTGCTGCGTCCAGGAGTTTCGTGTCTTATTGACGCTTCCCACCAGGACGTACAGCTTGTTCCCCTTCACGATCACTGTGGCGTCCATCACACGGGAAACGGACGATGCGCGGCTGTTCTTGATCGCAATTTTGGTGTTCCACGTCGCTCCATCGTCCACGCTGTACTTGACAGAAGTCTCAATGAAGGAATTGTCGTAGGATGTTTCGTAGCGGGCATCCGCAATGGCAACCATCACCCCATTCACGTTAACAAGGGTGGGAATACGGAACGAGTGAACTACCCGCTCCCTGACCGTGCCATTACTGTCCTCAAGTGGCACCGTGGAATTATTCCTTCTTGACGTTTGAGTCACATTTATTTCTCAATATATGTATCTACAAATAAACGTGCGTTTGTGTGCTATGAACCTTGCTTCAAAAAAAAAAAGCAATAATTTTCCCCCATAACGAAATTCAGGAAGAGAAAAACAAGAAATGAAAAAAAATTGCTGGTGGGACAGAATTCTTTGACTTTTGCTTTCGTTTTGGTTGCCTACGGCGCATCATGAGGGTATGGACTAAAATTAATCCATGTTCGCTCCATAGTTCGATATTCGTAGACAAAAAAAATAATGACGTGAAGGCGCTGGAAAACTCTCCGTTTTATGCCTGGCTTTTTTTCCTGCCCAAAATTCGTTACACCGCTCTACTTTGCAAAATGCAAAGCCAAATAATTATCGATTGCCGTGACAGAATCATTTTAACTATCTCATGCCACAAACTTCATGTGCGTTTCAACCAGATATAAGAATAGAAGAAACAAGAATGAAACAAGGGAATGAGTGATAGCAAAACAAGATTGTGAACTCAGCAGTCACTAGCTGATGCATTTGTTTTTTTCTCTGGGCAAAAGTTTTTCTTCTTTCAATATCAACAGGTTGTACGACAAATGTAAAGTGAAGTGAATACTGAACAAGCTGGCACGCCATGGTAGGCACCCTTTCGTTATTACTCAACGCTTCAACCTATGTGCAGCAATCAAAGAGGCCTTATACATAGCATACTCTTCAATCGCATAAAGTAAAAAAGAAAAAAGGTAACACAAATAGAAAAGGGAACGTTTAACAATCAAACCGGTTCGCTTCTTATGCTGCTCAACTATTCGTTCTTCTATTATAGCTCCCCCTACAGAATTCCTCGGATGCATATGGGCCACCGTTATAAAACGCGATACCATTTGTCCGCACGCATGCAAAAATATGTGTGCGTGTGTTTGTTTTCCTTGGAGCGCAGTAACCTTTGTATTAACCAAAAAGCAACAACAAAAGGGGAGTGGCTCTAACTATAAAGCGTAATAAAGAAAAAAAAGGCGCGCAAAAAAGAAAACATCTTGCCCCATCAAAGTCTTCTGTCTGTACATGGGGAGCGGCACCGGTGGTATTCTCAAGTTATTCAACTCTGAAAAGGGGGAGATGGTATTCCTTCAATACCCCTTCAAGATCTGTTGCGCACGGTGCGCTCGTTTAAAACCCACAACAAACGCGCAACGGTGGCTACGATAAACATCCACGGGAAACCACGGTGTTGAAAACCTGCTAGCACCAAAACGGTTGCGATGTTTTTGTGTCACCAGTGCCAACCAAGAGATCCATAAAACACAC